GCTGAAAAAATTGCAAACAAGCTTAAGAGGAGAAAATGCCAACTCCCAGTAAAATCAAACCAATTAAATAATTGGCCAAATTACTCCAACAGTAAATTAAAAAAAAAACATTGGTAGCCGAACGAGCGGCTCAAGGCCGCTCGCCGGAAACGAAATTCAAAGGTTAATTTGTTTTGGATCGAACCTGCTCTGATACCATATGTTGAATATTATAATAAACTTGTTTCTATTATAAAGTAAAAGACCCTATTTATAGGGCTATAAATAACTCTAAAAGGAAAGATTGAATAATAATTATACAATCAACTATTAAGGAAAATAATCCTACACTATTAGAAAAATATCGTAGAGATTATTCTTTCCACATTTTCAACACCGTCGAAGGATAAAAAATTAAACTACCAAGAAATGAGGAGAGAGGAGTCTTGAATGTGATGGTGTTCAGTGATTATAGGAAGCTTCACAAATCGTAGTTGCTTTACATAAAATCTTAAAACCTATAAAGATGTCATTGTTGACCAAAAAAACCTTTTAAATCTTGTTGTACGACCTAAAATATCTGCACAAACCTAATTTAAAAATTTCTTCTTTTCTTGTTCTGTTAACAAGGACTAATGGGAAAGAGATGACTTAAATATCTATAACTTCACAAAATAACGAATACTGTGATACCTATTTAAAGAATTGTGTGTCGCCATGATTTGTATCTTGAAGTCCTTACACTTAAAAGCTAGATGACACAAGGAGATGCAATTGCAATGTATGGAGGGATAATTACATTTTAAGTAGCTCATAATCAAGAAGTGTGCAATATGGTGATGGCGCAACAGAGAAATCCTTGTATATTTCTCTTTTCCAACTTCCACATCACATTATTCACACGACATTTCCTTACGCCCCAATGTGTTATTCTACGTTGATAAAATCCTATAGCTTTCTAAAGCATTTATATTTGGTAACCATAAAGTTCTTATTCCTTCTCACTTGATCCTAATTGTAACATCACAAACTCCCAATCAAATGTCTTACCAATTCCTCCCATGTCAACTCTACTCCATAAGTTTGTGACATGACCCCAATATTCTTTTCAGCTCTCTATTTCCATTACATAGATAATCTTCATCTCGCACCAGTGGGAAAATGGGAATCCAGAATGAAATCAAATTCTTAATCTCCAGTTTCAAGTTTCCTCTTTTATGGGACCAAAACCTCTCACCGCCACAGAGAGTTACTTATCAGAATCATATGCAGGGGTTTACCGTAGGATCTTCGAAATAGCATCTTAACCTACAATGTGACTTAGTCTTGCTACACCTGAATTTAAAATTGTAGTCAATATTAATCCAACTAGTGTTCCTAACAGTACTAGCTACTTTTGAATTTAAAATAACCATAAGTGAGACGGTCGTACTTATTTTCCAAACTGAAAAGATATTAGGTTTGATTCAACAAAAATTCCATGGAAAATGGAAAAGAAATTCCATTTCCACCCAAATGGCATGATTGATTGGAATTCATTTCTTGGCAATTAATTTTCCACCCACAGCCCCACATGCCCAATTCTTGGTTTTGGTGGAATTCATTTTCTTTTGGTTTTGGTGGGAATTGGTTTTCTAGGCATCTTTTCATTTATTTATTTATTATTGGGAATGGAAACAAATTATATCCTCAATTGTAAAATTTTTTCCTTTAATGGACAATTTCCATGGAAAACGAGCCAAACGAACACCAAAAAATCCAAAATTTCAACATTTTTCAGAACACAATTAATTGACAATTCCCACTAAAATGAATTCTAGGCAATTTAATTTCCTAGAATTCATTTTCTTTCCAACCTTGAGGAGTTGCTCAATTGGTCAGGTCTTGAGTTTGCTCCCAAATGGTCATCAGTTCGAGTCCTTCAGGAACATTGAGGTGAGTATCCAGTCGTAAACTTGAGGGTCCCGTGGGATTAGTCGAGATGCACGAAACTGGCCCGAACATCCATGGTTATAAAAAAAAAAAAATTCTTTCCACCCAAATTCTATCCTTACAATCAAACGGACCTTTAATCCAAGGCCTAGATCTAATTCAAAAATGTGCAACTTCATTAAATAAAACTGTGGTCAAAGTTTTCATAAAAGAGCAATTAGCTGTCTGAATCAGACACTTCTCGAAGTATGTAATCTGCATTTACATTAAATTAATGTAAGCAATGTTTTCCATTTTAAGCACTTAATACAATTCAACATTAATAAAACGACACGAATTACAGTAAATACTAACCCCAGGAAGCGTCTTCTTGTTGTGACATGCATTCACTGCCTTGTCAGCTTCTTCACTCGACGGACAAATCACAAAACAACATCCTTCCCAAAAAAGACAACAAAATTAGGGTTTCAACCCCCAGAATACGCTATCAAATTCAACAAATGTCGAAAAATAACAGCTCAAATCATACATTGAGATCCAAAAACAAATTGAGGAAGCATGCAATGAGAGAGTAAAAAATTAAACCTCGAGAAGCACGCGTAGTCTTATCCTTAATTATGTTGACTTCGTCTACGAGCGCAAACTCTTGGAATATTGCGAGAATCTGATCTTCAGTCATGTGCTTCGGCACTTGACCTACGAACAGTTTCACGCTCTCGTCGCTTTGCTTCTCCTCCGCCATTAATGAGACAAAACTCTCTCTTTCACACTTTCTCCACAGAAATGCTTCACAGTGATCTCTCTTTAAATTTCGTGTCTGTTTTCTTGTTCTTGCTTGGAGTCTTCGCAGGGAAATTGGGGATTTTCTAGATGGCAAAGTTGGATCTTCCCTGAATTAATTATGATTGATGGATTTATAAAAGCCCTCTGATTTATGTACTATTTTCGGGAATGCCACTGGAATTCTTTGAATCCTGAGCCAGCTTAACGGTAGAGCCGAAATAATAAAGTCGGCGATTGACTGTTTTTTGAAATAGATTCAGTAAGTACAAACGTGGACATCGAGAATTGACGTAAATACCCCTCGTTTGGCTATCAAAAGTTTTCCCTCTTTATTCTCGTGGATTTAATTGAAGTAGATTTGGCTCTCGTTTTGGTCGGTTCCAAATTTGAAAAGAAAAAAAGGTTGTCCGGTCCTTTTCTGAAGTTTGCTGGCAATTGATGTCCTTAGATGACAGGTTTTTGGGGACGTGTTTCGTCGATACTTTTATTTTGTCCGCTAAACATTATTAGATGGTTATTTACTAGTCAGATCGATAACTATACTTTGATAAAACAACTATTTATTCAAGATCCTTTCACGACAAATCCTCAAATGAGATCTAACTTAACATACATCATTCTCGACGGTCGCATGATTTAACTCAATCTAGATGACACGAGAGAATCATTTCCAAGGAAATCTGAAAGAGCAAAGTAGTGAAATACTTAGAATTTGTAAGGTTAATAATATAAAAAAATAAAAGCATATCATGTTATACTTGATTACTGTTGTTTCTTTTAGATACACAAACAAAATCTTTCATTTACCTGGATGTTGTTGACCTCAAAATCCGAAATAATACGGGTATCAACGGAAAATGGTCAAATCGACTTACACCTTGAAACGTTTGAGTGCCGGAGACAAATGTAATTTGATAGGGAGGGAGTGTAAGGGGTACAACAATCATGTGCAATCCAACTCTTCAATGATAGTTGCAGTTATATGACATTTTCGCATGCTTGCCAGCATCTACTCCACATAGTACTTTGAACTATTCAAGATTAAACTGTAGAGTCCTCTTGTCACACTACACCTCATGTCATGACAGATCTATTTTTGAAATGGTGCATAGTCAAGGACTTTGTTAAACGTTGGTCCATTTTGTTCCGTGAACGAGGACTTGCGTGTGGTAGTAGGTAAAAAGGAGAATCACGTGCTAAACTCTTTCAATGAAAGACGTGTCACTCTCTTTGTGGGTACAACATATTTGCCACGTGGATGTCAATTATCACTTGGCATGCAACAAATGTCATGGTACAACGTATTAGACGATTATCCAGCTCATCAACAATAGACTTCCAAAATCTTCAATTAAGATGATAATTAAGGAAGAGAAGAAAGAAGGTATATTTAATTGCATGATTAGAATTCCCACGTGTAATTTAATTTAAGCTCCTATTTGGTTTGGATTAAAATTAGTTTTTTTAATAAATTTTGATAAAAAATAAAATATATCGTTGAAAAGTTGATAAAAATTATAGGCTCATAAAATATGTGATTAAAAATAAGTTTGAAGAAAAATTAGTTTTAAAAAATGGAGGACAATATGGGCTAAACGAAGAAATATCACCTTTTGAATTTTTTTTCAGTAACGCTGATGTTACCAAAAATCGTCATTTATTGATTCTCGAGTTTGAGGATTGAGGACATCATGAACAAAATTTTCGACACCTGAAACAAAGGTGTCGAGGTGTGCCCTCGTTGCCCCTTCGATGTTTAAGTTAGCGAAAATGGAAAATATAAGCGTACCTAGAAAATGACTTGGAACCTTTATTTATAGATGTAAGTATCACACTTTTGATAAGATTATGATACTTGAAACCTTATCTGTTTAAGATATGTAAAAGAGTTGAGTACTTCAATATGAGCAAGAGTTGTTAGCTAGTTAGAATTCAATCTTATTGGAGTTGGATGAGTTTGAAGATGAAAGTAAAATCCTACTAGAGTATGTTTTTTGAGATAGAGAATGTGACAAATGTAAAAACCTCTAGAAACGTGAAATCGTCAAGTGCGACAATTAAGCTTGATGAGGACACCTTTGGAAAACTCCCAAAATGACCGAAAATAACCTCAAGCATTGTTGTTCGGGGTTGATAAAAAAATGACCATATCAAACGCCAATCAATTTGATTCAACTATCTCGTCTTGATTTAGCAAAACTTTGTTTCCAAATATCCCTCTTTTATAGCTAATTAGGAAGTCTCTTCTAATTGTTCATATTCTCGAGATCGATGGATGATTACTATTCTTGTGTAAAAAAAGTCAGGAATGCCAATTAAAAAAATGCAAGAAAAAAGGGAAGGCCCGCGATTTGAATGGTAGAATCCTAGATATGTATTAAAATGAGGGGTGAATGTTGAGGATGCCAAGTTGTCCCGCCAAGTCATATTTGCTCTTTGCAGCTTGCAAATTGAGTAAAATGCATTCAACCCTATCATTTAGCTGCTTTTAGTGATTACTAGTAAGATACACGTGCACCATATTATAATTGGCTATATGATAGCATAAATATAAAAAAAAATTATTTGCCTTAAACATTAGTTACATTAAACTTAACACACTTGTTATGATAATAGGTGACAAAAATAATATTACAAGATTTGATTTGAAGATTATTTTCTAGACTTTGCGTTTGAAGGTCTTTCTGTTCTTTTTTTTTTTTTTTAAAAAAGGGCATAAATAATTAGGTGTTGAGGCACTGCTAAAGAAATAATGAAGTAAAACATAGCCCTCATTTTTCTATCTATTGAGGTAAGACATTACGTCTCCTTTACCTCGTGCTCATGGAATCTTCAATTACATGTATCAATTGCACCAGTATTTAATTTCTTTATCAAGATCCTATGCAAAACGTATATAGTCAGACTAATTAATTAATGATAATACAATGCAAAATTTAGGACAAATCAATGGTCTCTATCAGTATATAACACAACACAACGAAAACTTCCGTCACAGAGGCAAAAAGATTAACAAACGATCACCTAACTTCATAAATTCCGTTTAATATCTTTTCAACATGTTCTAATGATATTGTACATTAAATCCATTTTAAAAAAACCAAAATAATCCACTTCATGAAAGATATTTGTCTACCAGCATTGCATTCCGTAGGAAGATTCTTTTGAAAATCATCGAGTTCATTCAATATCTATTTTGACGCCATAAATTTACCATTTTTAACCTTAAAAACTAAAAAAAAAAAAATGGAATTGAAAGAAATTTGTGTGAGTACGAGGTTGAGGGTGCGGTAAAAAAAATAATTTACGATTATAATTTTACGTTTAATAATTTAAGATAATTTTTATATTTAAACTTAATCGACATTATATTTATTATTATCACATTTTAAGTTTTTTTTAAAAAAATTTAAATCGATCCAAATGGATATTTATACCGTGAAATATCGAATCAAACGAAAAATTGTAAGAAAATAAATTTCGAAAGAAGGATATTGGAAAGATGTTGTGATTGAAAAGAAATATAAACAATCACGACTTTACGTTTCAGTGAAATTACACTTCAACATTTTTAACAAATTTTTAATCGCTTAAAACGAATATTTGTAACTTAAAATATTGAATTAAATGTTAAAAAAAAAAA